TCATCCTAGCTTCCTTGCCTTCACTCAGTTTCAACTACCTGTAAAAACCACACATTCTCTCTTGCCTTCCCTGTCCCTCAAAGCAGAGCTATGACACTTCTCCAGGAAGGCTCTTCAGCCTCCCAACCCACCCACTCTCTTGGATTCATGGCCAAAGGTCCCAGGCCCGGGGCAAGGACTCACTCCTGACAATGGCTGTCGAAGCTGAAGACGCACTTCTGCAGACTGTCCAAGGTCATGAGGCTGATGTGCTCAAACATGTCCAGACGGGCGCTGCCCTCCGAGGTCAGGTGCTGCCACTTGGCCTGGCCAGAGAGAGGGACAGAGATGGGGATGAGTGCTGGCTCGCTTGAGCCCCTCCCAAGCCCCAGCCTCCAGATGGACTCCCCAGATGCAGCCTCTTAGTTCTCTGGCCCAGGACCCATCCCCAGGGAGGACCGGGCTTGGGTTGGAATGAAAGCTGTTACTATTAGGAGATGAAGACCCAAGGCTGGGAGTCAGGAGACTTGGGTTTCAGCTCCAGCTCTGCTTTCTATGCTCTGAGTGCCCTCGGTCAAGTCCTTGCCCTCCCCTAGGTCCCACCTGTCAAATCTTCAGTAACAGTTAAGTTGACCAGCTTTGGTGCTAGATAAACAAACCAGGTTAGCACCCCTGCTCCACCACTCCCAGCTCCCTTATTGGCTGCATAGACTTGGACAAACTCCCCAATCTCTCTGGCCCTCTATTTTATTATCTAATATGGGGAAAAAATAATCTCTGCTTCACAGAGCTGTTAAAATTAAATTAGAAAATACATCCTCATATCATGAAATTGGCTTATGACATTGTTTCTAGAATGCTAAATTTTCTTGTCTCCGTTGCTACAAATTGATTTAAAAATATCCCTGTGTTGGGAGAGGTAGTCCTCCATGGGCCCTGAGCTTCCTTGCTGGGCATGCCAAGGATGGGAGGCCCTCACGTTCTTAACCTGGGTCACTTCTCAGACTTGTGTTTGCAGAGAACAACCTTGAGGGATAAGGTAACGACTCCCCCTGGACACTTGTCAGGCTTGTGTCTGCTGTCTGAGAAAGCGGATTCCCTAACCCTAATGTTCCTCCCATGTAATGCAATAGACTCCTTGAGCAGGCATCTGTAGGATCCCACTGTGTCACCCCCACGGGATTTGGGTGCCTTGGAGAAAGGATGCAAATGAAGAAGAAGCACCTGCTGCTTGCAGTGCCAAGAATAATAAAGTGCCCCTTGTCTGTGGCCCTGGAGTCCCTTGTCTTCTGGCAGAATCCATGAGAGAGTAACAAGCTAACTTATCAGCTTCCAAGTAAAGAAGTCCTAGGCACTTCACAAAACCCTATTCCCAATTCCTCACTTCTCCCCATAGCCACACCCTCTGCAATGCTGTTTTTCAGATACTTCCATTGAGACATCCTGCCTATTTTACCCCTCTTTGATTCTGTGCTGGACTTTGGCTTTCCATGGCCAAATACAATGTAGACAAAATGATTAGGTAGTCACTGTAAAATACCTAAGACTCAAGAGGCATTGCAACCTCCTCTCACTCCCTTGGGACCCTGTTCCTGCCATGTAAACAACGCTGGGATTCCCTCCTAGGGGAGAGATGAGATACAGGGCAGTCCAGCTGTCCCAGCTGAGGCCAGAGACTGAGCCAGGATCAGCAAAGCTGCCTAATGCAACCACAGCTGATCACACACCATGAGACATCCCTTCTACACCCAGAACGAGCCAACTGTCCCGTACACATAGTACCAATCACAAACCCTTACTGCTCTAAACCAGTGAACAGTTTGTACTCAGCAATAGCTGCTATGCAATCATCATCATCATCAT